ACAACTGCATTTTCTATCCGAGAACTAACTTCAAATAATTAATTCCTGCAATGAGAATAGAAAAACAATAACTTATTCAGGAAATATAAAAAAATGACTGTGTATTTCATATACTTTCAAAATGGTCGTCATGAAAAATTATACAAAATTGACTACGATAGAAAATTAACGTAGATACTCAGAAAATACGATTTACAGCGATATTTACGGTAAGATGAAAACTTATCATAGACATTATTGAAACTTTAGCGTCCTGTGGTTTAAAAACTGTAGTTCATATGTTAATATGAAGTTATTTATCAACATAAACCTAAATATAACCTCATTAGATAAGATTTCTTTATGAAAACACCGTATAGTGAGTGATCAGGACATCAGTTATTCCTGAGTTATATCGAAAAAATTAAAAATATGATAATTTAAATGGAGTCTCAAACTCTAAAATCCTGTAGTTCAAAAGTTAAGATATTTTTGATATCCAAAATGGACCCATAAACAACCTTATTTGTATTTTTATTATAAACAGCCTAAAACAACCAGAAACAGCTCTTCTCGCCGTGCGAAAAAGTCCTTTGTACAAATGTCATTTTTTTCGTAAAAAGTTGTGTTAATAGATGTAGTTTGCTGAAAAATAAACAATTTTGAAGAAATTCCTCTATTTGTACGGAAAACTGTGAGAGAGGCAAGTAGATTTTTCGATTCTTGAGTGCAGTTTTAACTTTAGATTCGTAATCATCGGACAAAAATATGTAAATTTTCCGTTAACTGGCGAAAGCTAGCTGAACGAATTTCTACAATTCTTTTAAATGGGACGTTGTAATGGTATAAACGTACGAGCCGCCTCTGCTAATTGTCCAAATTGATGGTACTATTGTTCTTATTGAATCTTCTTATCTCTCCAATCAAATCATCTTGAATATCTGGATTTGAGGCCAATTCGTATAAACAAAATAGGACTGTGGAACAACTATAAATGATATTTTCGATTGCAATTTCGATTATTTCATCAATTATTCCCTCAGACTCTCTGTCATCTCTCAGAGTATCCGTGAAACATTGAAGTAGATCTTTTTCCCTAACGTCGTGCTTCTTCCTGTATCCGCAGACGTCTTTGATGAAGTTCCGTAAATCCTCGTTTGAAGATTTGCTCTTTGTGAAAGACAAAACCAGTTTTAAGTAGTGCCAAAAACCGGAACGAATTTTTTCATCGGCGCTCTTGATCAAAACATCTGCTGAACCCTTGTTAAAACCGAAAGTAAGGCAACTTGATTCTGCCAAGAAGCCATAGAGCACCTCTTTGAGAGGTGTTTTTCCTGCAAGTTGTTCCTCAAGGCTAGGCTTTATTGCGTTGGAACTCTCTATCAGCTGTTGAAGTATACTATCATCGAACATCCTAAGAACCTTCTTGTAATCCAGGACGTTTTTCTTGCGAGAAACATTATCGAACCCTCTGTCGTCAGATAAAATTTTGAACGTCAGACTAGGGTGGACCGCGAGTATACCCGGTTTGAAAAACAAGTAGAACCCGGCAAATTTATATCCTTTCCTCTTGAACTTGTTATAGTACTTCCATAGAAAAACATACATTGTTGTGTTTCGGAAAAGAATGTCCTTGATATTTCCATAAGGGGCAGATGGGGTGACTGCTCTGGGAATTTTGTGTTTTTCAAAGAAACTGTAGCACCTGAGAATGTAACAAAATACCCCTATTACAGCGAAGGTAAAAAATGTTATACCCGAAAATAGTTTATTTTCGTCGACGTAGTACAGAAAACTAGTTTTATCATAAGGACTGCAGTAACTCATGTTGACTAGGTCACGTCTATGTTTCCACCGGGAAATTCAACACATTTCAAACTATTTTCACACAGTCAGCCACTACTTGAGCATTTCTACAACATAGTTAACGGAGTGTGTTGTATCTATTTCGTCTTACAATGACAGAATGAAATATTGTGGTAATATTGACTCTGCGCATATTGCGCAAAGTCAACTTTAAATCAAGTTTTCAGTAGAATCATGTGATCGGCATATGTGAGGTCCGCTTTGCCCGAAACGGGAGAATGAATGACTGGTGGCACTAATAGTCGTGTCAACGAATACGAAAAACAGGCACTCTTTGGAATTCCTAAAAAACAACTACAGTTTTGATGAATAAAACTTTCATAGCAAGGGCAATAGTTATTTGTTTACCTAGGTAGTAAATCTGTTTGTCTTTCATGTCAAACATATATTTTTTTTTCATAAAAATATAACCCTTTCAATGTAAATATAATTTGTTGCTATCCATGATAATAAACAATTTGTTTTAATTCTAGACGCGTTTCGCCAACACAATAGATTCATTTTATTTTTTTTGTGATTGTTTGTACCCTATGTTCAAAAAAATCGAAATTAAATTATTTTTCTTTATATAAGTGATTATTTCCAAAATGTATTCTAATCATATGTTATAATTTTGAATCGTATTTTCTAATAATTATCATTAATGTCGTTTAGACCTTATTTACCGAAAGATGATAATGATATATATTGAATAATGGTAATTTATCCACACATGTTATAGGTACAATTATTAAAAGTAATGTGTCGCAAATAAATTAAAGTAATTCACAAAAGTTCAACCTTGAACGTGAGATGCTCAACTACAAGCCACACGAGACATACAAAAATACATTTATAGACATACGCGCACACACATATAGTGTTTGTGTGTGTGTTATACATAATATACACATACATAAAGTGTGTGTATAGTATGTATACACACATAAAGTGTGTGTATAGTATGTATAAGGATGACGTGATTTTGCAATTCCATAACCCAGCTCAAATCACATGACCATTTCCATTGCTTAGAAAATTCCGTGTTGCTATGTACATTTTCCGATTTGTTCAGTTGTAAATCGCCATTTTTGTTGGTGGATATTGAGTGTGAATAGTTTGAAGAATATATTAATTACTCATTGTCACTATTTTTAGGGTTTGAAGAGACATCGGAGATTACTCAGGATGTATAAACCTCTGAAGAAGCTAGCCACTCGCGCCAGCGAAACGTCGAGAAGAAATTACAAAAAATCGACGTCCTTCAAAACCGAAAAATAGTGACACTGAAAACCTCGAAGTAGGAGATTTGAGCCGGTTCTAAGCCTCCCCCCACCACTATGACGTATTAATTGCTTTTTTATTGATAACACTGCGAAAATCTCGGCCGCGGAAGCCTTAACCTATTTATCGTACTGGAAAGTGATAAAGAAATGTTAATCCCTCTCGAAATAAAAGATTTGGCAAAAGACGAAGAATATAGTTTGTTGTCTACAAAATTCAGAATATTGTATAAAATATTTTATAGAAAAATCATGGATTTCCACAATAACAAGAAGATCGGATCATTTCAGGAAAACGTTTTACAGGCATACTTTGCAAAATTAGTCAAGAAATGAAAGTTTTCGACTTCATAGTCCATATATCTTATATTGAAGACTACATTGCATATTAACATTGATATAGATATATCCCAATATTTTGATCTGTGAGCCTTTTCAAAGCGTCAACCAGATGGTTACCGTGCCAAAAAATCCAGAGTACTATAGAAATCGCAAATTCGGCAATTTATTTCGGAAGCTCCAGATAATATATGTGGAATTGGCCGCGGTGGTAGTGCGCCCGACTCACGATTGGAAGACCGTGGGCTCGATTCCTGCCTCGACCAGATATTTTTCTCGAGAGAATTTATCTGGTTGAAGCACCGCAGGAAGTGCCCTTGCTGTTGGAGGTGATCTGCTATGTCCAGCCTCATTCCAAGCGGTAGATTGGGGTGGACATTTCTGTTCATCCCCAGCCACCGCCTTAGATTGAAGTGAGAACTTCTGTCCAGGGATTGGTTTTTGTTTTTGTTGTTTCTGTTTTGTGTTGTTTCATTCATGTGTGTTCCCATGAGGGAAGAGTTGGTCACCTCTGGCAAAGCCCCGCATTACCAGAGGTGGGCTGATTACAATGAGGTTTCGCCCAGTTCCCCAAGGGGATCGTTCATGACCGCATATCACCCTGCGGCCATTCAGCTGTCGGCCCGATTCCTTACACCTTAGCTTGGGTAGGCTGATCCACGGTGACATGTTTTGCAAAGGCTTTTAGGGGGTTTTAGTATCCCTCACCCTACTTATTTCTGCCACTGAACAGGAGTCCGGCGACCCCGTAAGGCCACATTGACTTCCCGGAAGGGCGTCCAGTCCCCTGACCGTTCCCCTATCCGCCACCTGGGGACGCGCCCGATAGGTAGCCCAACCTACGGGAAAACTATATTGTGTTTAGAGTTCTCAAAATCGCAACGCGTGTTTCAGTATACAACCTTTTGTATAGTAAACACACCTGAAGAAGCTATTGTGTAGTGAAACAAGTATTGCCGTTTTGCAAACAATTCACAATTAACCTAAATAGCTGAAACTCTGTCGACACATTCTTTAATAAAATTTGTTACAATTTCTCACTTTTGAAAATACCGAACTGAATGTGGATTTCAAATATTTCAGGGTTTGCAAGATGGATTTGCGAATGGAAATCAGTTAGCGTCTTTGGTAGATTAACTTATAGCACCTACATCGTCCATAGTGCTGTAATAAGAATAAGAGGTGGACTAGTGAGGGAACCTGTTTACGTTAACGATTACACTATAGTAAGTACTTTCCCTCTCTTTATTATTAAATTTTTTTCAACAAAAAATTAAAAATGAAGTTGATTTCACCTTTGTGAAGGGTTATCTCGAGGTTTTCGTGGAGGAGAGTGCTACCAAAGAAAAAACTATAGGGTCTTCCAACAGGGACTTTCGAACGTATACAGATTTTGTTGAAGCTACAGCTGTCAAATTAATTGGCATTTATTCATTATGTTTTGCCAAATCACAATGGATGGATATAGCACTCAACAACACGTTGAGTGCTACATTGAAATTGTTTTATAAAATGGGTGTTTCGTTCGGGCAACGTACCGCGCGCTTCACCCATTTTACGGTCGCCATAATCGTATTGCCGAGAAGACTATTCGCAATGCGGTGGATGAATTTGAGTCCACTGGTTCAGTAAACAATCGACCAACACTCGTACGTCGATAAAACGTAAGATCTACTGAAACCTCGCTGCTGTCTGAGAGAGTGTGATGGAGAATCCGAGGCAGTCGATTTCGCATTGCTCACAAGAACTCGGCCTTACGTAGACCACAAATTGGCGAATTTAGCGTCGTGACTTGGGCCTGCACCGGTACAAAATTCCACTGACCCAGGTACTGAAGGTAAACGACCATAGACAACGACTTGTGTTCGCTGAATGGGCTCTAGGACAGTTAGCAACTAACCCTAATTTTCATCGAAAAGTCATTTACTACGATGAGGCCCATTTCTGGATGAATGGGTATGTGAACAAACAAAATTGTCAAATTTGGGACGATACCATTCCACATGAAATTCAAGAGCGTCCGATGGATCACGAAAAAGTCACTGTTTGGTGTGGATTTTAGGTTAGCGGCGTCATCGGTCCATATCTCTTTTAAAACGACGTTGGCCAGACCATCACTGGCAACGGCGAACACTATAGGTCGTTGAATACCAACTTCTTTTGGCCTGAATTGGATGATTTGGACACCAACGACATGTGGTTTCAACAGGACGGTGCTATGTGCCACACAGCTCATGCCACATTGAATATTCTGCACGGGCGATTTGAGGGCATGGTTATCTCACGTGGAGATGATGTGAACTGGCCACTGATATCGTGCGATTTGATCCCGTTATACTTTTTCTTGAAGGGTTTTCTTAAGTCGCACAGCGGTTCTCAAAACCAAGATAATCTATACCATCGGTCTAATTCAGCCTGATTTATGCACCAAAGTTATGGAAAATTGAACTTTTCGAATTTGAACGATGTTATATTCCACACATAATGGCATTGAGGGCTTTCAAAAAATTAAAAATTCGATGATATGTCACACACACTTTGTTTCGTTTAAATTTAAAGATAGGAAGTATCTTTAGTTCAAACTTGTTCCTTCATGTTAATCAAGATGTTTCACACCTTTCGTTGGCTAAAATAAATTTCAAAAGATATAATGACTCAATAAATGTAGTAATATCTGTATCTGTAGAGCAGAGAGGGTGAGTGTAGGCCCACAGCACTTAGGCCACATGTGACCCATTGTACATCCTCCCGAAGAGTTGTCCTCCTAGGTCACCGTCCATTCTGTCCTTTCCAGGATGGTGGACAGGTCACTAGGAGACACCTCCTTTATATCGGCAGGTGTCGGCCAAAACTCACCGAACACACTCTCTTATTGACGGACATACATCCTGCATAGAGGTGTGTCCACTAGCCCCATATTTTGGAGGTGTTTCCTTAGTTGACAGTGGCCAGTCAAAAATCCTACTGTTAAGCGTAGATTTTTCCTGGCCATCGCCAGATATTTTATCGGTGCCAGCTTCCCAGGGTCGTCCAAGATGATCCAGGCAAGATCCAGGCAAGATCAGACCGTAGGTGTCACTGAATCCTAAACTTCTTAGTCCAACTGCTTCCTTGGCTAGAGTCGGCAATGCGATTACCTTTACTCCTGTCGTGCCCTTTAATCCACCTCAGGATAAATTCATTATGTACCGAGGTTTTGGCTAAATCTTGGTGGTACTCTAATACTAGCCCTGAGGTAACACGTTGTCTGTTCAAGGCTTTTAGGGCATGTCTGCTATCAGTGCAGATTGTTATGTTTTTGCCATAAATTCCTTTCCTGGTTATTTCTTTTGTGGCGATTGAGATACCAGTCAGTTCTGTTTCAACCACGCTGGTATTTTTCCCATTCTCCACTTAATCCTTAGGCTTAGTGATCTGGAGTACACTCCACATCCTGAGCCTTCTTTGGTTTTTGAGCTATATATATTCGTATTGCATTTGTAGCATTTGACTCTGTGTTCTGTTTTATTTGTATTTTGTAGAACCTGGGTTCAATTGCATCACTGTTGCCTGCAGCAGAGGTTGCGCAGTAAGCGCTTCACGCCGCCATAGGCTCAGCCTCAATTGACCATTCCTACTTCGAGGTTCACACCAGCCATGCGCAATCGTACCATGGTCACTAATGCAACTTCTTTAACGTACATGTCCAGAGGGGTCAGGCCAGTAATTAATTCCATTGCCGCGATTGGTGTTGTTCTCATGGCTCCTTTGATGTTTAAACAAGCCAATCGCTGTATTTGACATATTTTTTGGATGGCTGTTACTTGTAGAACGTTTAGTCTCCATGCAATGGTTCCGTACGTTAACATAGGTCTTATTATTGCAGCGTAGATCCAGGCGACCATACGGGGTGAAAGACCCCATGCGAGTCCCTCTGTCCTCCAACATTGCTCATAAGCCACATATGTTCTTTTTGCTCTACTCTGTAGGTGAGAGTTCCATGTTAGTTACCTGACGTAGGAGCAACCGTGATCAAATGTAGTAATAATTTTGAAACAGAGTACATTTATTAAGGCGGAAAAAAATAGAAGATTATTATCTAGTTTGTTTAATGAATTAACTGGAAAGGTCAGTACGTTATGTACTATCGCTTGTTGATCGAAATTACTAAGAATGTCATCTCCTGATGATGTTAACTTGGTTATCAAAGCACGCGTGAAAAAAGTGTTTTCATTATGTCAAACCGATTATTATTTTTTAATGGTTCTTTTTCAGTTAATGACCACCCTTGGTGATATCGTCCTGTCCTACCTTGCCGGGACTATGATGTGTCTGATGTTTGAGATGCCCATATCAGCCCTGCAGAAGCTCATGGTCCCACAAATGAAGACAAAGAATACAGGCCTAAAAGGGTCGTCAGAGAAATCTTTAAAGACGTTGGACGACGGTTTACGAGACGTTTATGTGAATAATCATGAAGAATGTTCGAAAGTGTGAATAAAATTGCAAGTATTGTTTTCTGTGGTTTTGTTCTAGCAGGAAGCGGTGATAAGAGATATCAGAACAAAGCCTGATATAGAAATCACCGAGACGTATTTAAATTTCCGTAATATCTAAATTGCTCCAAGATATTGTTGTAAAATATCGCGAATTTGTGAAAAAAATGTATCAGCTGTAATCAAAATTGGACATCAGTATACTTCAACAGTTTCTAAAACTCCATAACTATCTGTAACAGTTGTAGAAACTTTCTGTATAAAGAAAAGCAGAAGTTGAAAAGGAATATAACATTATCATGTGTCGTTTTTAATTCAGAAAGATGTATTTCATTTGGAATAATGGAATAATGATTGATTGTTTTTGCAAATTTTGGCAGTGAATAGGAAGATTAACAATTGGTTGTTATTAAAAAAATATTCGAAGTAAATCAAACCCATCAAATTAGTCCATTTCATAATTTATATGCAAGTTCATAACAAGATTCGCCTATTTTATAAAAAACACCATTCTTTCTCACAATTATTCATGTCAAATTCAAGTTACATAATTTTCACTTCACTTCACTCTATAAAGGCATATCTTGACACATATTAATTGTGAAATGTAATAAATTGATAGGTTTGATTTAATTTAAAGTTCTTTCCCCTATTTTTGATAAAGCTTATATAGTCGAAGTAACCGGTATAGTGCATATTTAAATCTGTCGGCGAACTCAAAGGCCAAAAAAAACCAACACAGAGAAATAATGCCGCTGCCAACTAGTCCACGTGGACTGAAGAATTGGCGGTTCGTATTGGATAATTTTTACTAACCGAGTTTTATGATAGGCTGAAGAGTCATAAAATTAAATTTGAAGTCATGTTAGGTGACGAATAGAATGCGAGCCGTCGTGTTGTCAATGTTCAGTTCAGGAACTGATCGCGATTTGAGTGTTGAAATTTGATATTGGTGCAGTTTTATGATTACAAAGCTTTTGGAAGGTAGGTTGCACTATATCGTTTACTTGAACTATACTTAATACTTAAAAATATTTTCTTAGCCTGTTCATATCATTTAATGCTTCATTGTTGCATGGTTGATCTCTACAACATTTGTTCCAGCACCGCCAGACTATCATCAACCTTTGCAACATTTGAAATTGGTATGGCGGCCGTCTTGTTTTCCACCATTTCGAATTTTTTCCCTTGAACCCTTTCACTTGAAATCTGTTTCATGGAGGTGCATAAAAACACAATCCACCATCTTTGGAAGTCCGCCGACATCATTTTTCATTTGATACTCATATCAAGAGGATGAATAAAGTACTTGTCCGCCATATTGGATACAGAGTGATGTCATTTTATTGTTCCTATTATTTTCAGCAAACTCTTTTATTTGAGCCATGACATGGAGGTGCCTTATAGTAACTGGTGCTCTTGGTTGGTTCTCCATATTGAATCAAAAGTAGTCATGTGGTTCTTCTTATTTGTTTTAGCAAACTTTTTGCTCAAAGCATGGAGTACATGAAAAACTAGTACACCATCTTGGGCGGTTGTATGTAGAATGGGGTCACATGCTTTGCCATCCAAACTAAACGAGGATGATACCTGCTTTAAAATTCGGTTGCAAGATTTTACTCGAATCGACAATGAATACAAACACTGCAAGTTAAATAAGAGATCATAAAAATTGAGTTTATTAAGGATATTTAGTTAGTTAACAATTCGAATCTCAGGGGCAACGGTTCCTTAGGATAGGTTACCAGTTTATCGTTGTCGAACTCCAGGACATGGTCCTTCTTCGTTAGATCGACCCTGAAGGAGGAGAGGATGTTGAATATACATAACTCGACATGAACATTTGTTAACCTGAAGCCTGAAACAGAAGTTTTTTGGATGACTTGACAAATTTGAACAAATATTCTGCCTATATTCATTATAAGAAAAAGATTATTCATATTGACACAAACGCTTCACGAAGGAGTGGTATTGACTATTTTCTCCCGCAGCGGCGTAATAAATCATTTTCGAGTAGCTGTTCCATAGGCGTGCATAATTAATTTGGGTAAAAAGTGAAAAATGTAGTATTTCAAACATGCAATGTGATATAACATTTATCCAAAAACTTTTTATAGTTGTTTGTAACAAAAATATTGAACACTATACATATTCAATAAATATTGAACACAATACATATTGAATATGTATTCATTACTGAAGGATTCCTAACCTAAACTTTTTCTTCCTTATTATATCATCTAATATACCCCTCGAGAAACCATTACTGGCTGCTATTTCCTGTATTGTACGTTTTTCTCTTGTGAACCTCTCATATGTGAGAGGAAAAGTCAACAGACGATGCACTAGAAAATTCAGCCCAGCACGTTTGTGCTGTCCACTGTCGGGAAACTACCTGTACGTGNTTTACACCTGCGATATGTCTGTCAGATATAATTCAATATGCGTTATGGTGTTAGCCGGAGAAGTAGTTTTTTTCAAGCGGACATTTATCAGATTCTACTTGTAGGAACCTTGGTAGTGGTAAACATTTCGAATTTTATTTTGTACTGAAGCAATTAAGTACATAAAAGTCATACCTATAGTATTTCTTGAATCCAATCCAAATGGAAAATACGTGTTGGGCTTGATATATTTTATATTATCCTCAAAAAATCTATCTGGGTCGAATGCTTCTGGATCAGGAAAATTCGCAGGGTCATGATGAACTCCGAATATTGTGGCGAAGATGAGACAACTTTTGGGTAAATCCAGCCCGAAATCGTTCATGTTATAATCCTCCTTAGGTTTCTTGGTAACTAGAGGTACGGGTGGGTATTTTCTTAACGTTTCTGAAATAGATAATATGCAGGAAGTTTTTTCATAGCACACTTATATTCAAAGAAGTTGTTTCTGGGTCCAAATGCCTCATCATAAATGTCCTAACTATTGAATTACCAGATAATTAAGTTTTTAGAAAAAACTTTCTTTTATTGACCACGTTTACGCACATTAGGTTAGATTAGGTTAGGTCCAAAGTGAGTAGGTCTATTCCACCGAACTCAAAGAACCTGATTCGATCCCCAGCGGGACAGGCACAAAGTGTATGCTCTGCAGTTTCATCATTTTCCAGACAGAGGCGACACACACTGTCTTCCGACAGTCCAAGTCTCTGCATGTGATGATTCAAATGACAGTGACCTGTAAGAAGGCCTGTTATACATCGTAGTTCATCCCTACTGTAGTCCAACAACTATTTGGTACCAAGCTTCGAAGGGTGAATAAACGCCTTAGAGTGAGCCAATCCTGGAAGATTCTGCCAGAAATCCATCCAGGTGTTCAATGTTTGTTTGGCAAAGCCTGAAGCGATACCAATGACAGGTTCTGGTCCGATGAAACTGCTTGCAGCACCCTCCTTTGCAAGGGAGTCAGCAGCCTCATTGCCTTACAGGCCGGTATGGCCAGGAATCCAGACCAGAGACAATCTGTTTAGTCTTCCTATCGAGGAGAGTCGTTTTTGGCAATTTGCTACCAATTTAGACATCGCTAGGTAGGAGCCAAGAGCTTCCAAGGCCGCTTGACTGTCCGAGAATATTTTTATTGACTTGTGTATGAGGTTGGATTTATCCAATCTCTCCGCACACAATTCAAAAGCGTAAATTACCGCCTGAAATACAGTCGCATAGGTTCCTAGGCAGGTTGATATTTCTGTCCTGGGTTTGCGACTGAAAACACCTGCACCAGTACCGGAAGGTGTTTTGATCCATCTGTGAACCTACAACTATCTGATTACGTACGTAAATCAAAGGAGGATTTCTAACAACCGATGTTACAAAAACCAACGTTGATACCTTTGTGAACACCAATGTTATCAAATTTTATGAAACCAGTTCAATAACGCTAAATTTTTTGGAAACATATTTTTTGAGTCTTGTAGACACCTGTTTTGAAAGATGTAATAATTTTGTGATATAAAATTTTTCCAATATGTCAGAAATGTAATTTTATTTTGAAAATTTCATTAAATTAGAGGCCTGGGATAAAGATAAATCCTCACTAGTGGATGAAAATGAACAAGAATATATTGGATAGAACCTATACAAGGAATTTCACCTTGAAAACAACCAAACATATGCAATGTTTCAGAATATTGATATTAAAACTTTTGAATTCATTTGTGAAAAAGTTGAATTATAATTCCAGAGACAACTGCATTTTCTATCCGAGAACTAACTTCAAATAATTAATTCCTGCAATGAGAATAGAAAAACAATAACTTATTCAGGAAATATAAAAAAATGACTGTGTATTTCATATACTTTCAAAATGGTCGTCATGAAAAATTATACAAAATTGACTACGATAGAAAATTAACGTAGATACTCAGAAGTTANCTACATCGTCCATAGTGCTGTAATAAGAATACGAGGTGGACTAGTGAGGGAACCTGTTTACGTTAACGATTACACTATAGTAAGTACTTTCCCTCTCTTTATTATTAAATTTTTTTCAACAAAAAATTAAAAATGAAGTTGATTTCACCTTTGTGAAGGGTTATCTCGAGGTTTTCGTGGAGGAGAGTGCTACCAAAGAAAAAACTATAGGGTCTTTCAACAGGGACTTTCGAACTTATATAATTGATCTTGTTGAAGCTACAGCTGTCAAATTAATTGGCATTCATTCATTGTGTTTTTCCAAATCACAATGGACGGATATAGCACTCAACAACACGTGCAAATAATGAAATTGTTTCATAAAATGGGTGTTCGCAATGTGGTGGATAAAACTGAGTTCACTGGTTCAGTAAAACATCGCTGCTGTCTGAGAGAGTGTGAAGGAGAATCCGAGGCAGTCGATTTCGTGTTGCTCACAAGAACTCGTCTTTACGTAGACCACAAATTGGCGAATTCAGCGTCGTGACTTGGGCCTGCATAAAATTCCACTGACCCAGGTACTGAAGGTAAACAACCATAGACAACGACGTGTGTTCGCTGAATGGGCTCTGGGACAGTTGGCAACTGACCCTAATTTTCATCGAAAAG